AAGCTATGGGGGGGAAAAAAGAGGAACAACTGTAATAATCTGAATAATAAAGATTTAATTTAAAAAAAAAAAAAAGAAAGAAAAGAAGTAGTTATTGTCCAGGCGCTAGCTTTTGTTTTGAGTGATTGGTTCACATGCGTTTATGGCATTATTAAAAAGAACTGGAACTTTTAAAAACAGATTGTTTTGATTGCTTTTTTAAAATATTTTTATTTTGTTTTATTGCTTAAAGTATTACAAAGAGTATTACATATGTCTTTTTTAATATTTTTTTTAATTTTGTGATTGCTTTTTTTTTAAAGTCATAGTCTATGAGAGCTATGGATTCTTAGAAGTTGGTTAGTTCTATTCCCTTTTTCCCCAAATAGAGAAAACTGAGGCCCAGATCAGACCCAAGTTATACAGTTCTTGAGTGGCTCAATCCAGCTGCTCTTGTCTCAGTGCAACATAGGCCAACCACGGCGTCACACTTCCTCTTCTCTCCCCCACACCTAACCCATGTCAGTCCTGTGGCAACACACCCGGGTCCGTCCCTTTTGCACACCCCGTGCCAGTGGAAACCACCCTCTTTCCCGCCTGCCCTTCTGCTATGGACGCCTCCATTCTCTGTTGCTCTGTTTCTCAGCTGTCTTCCCAATGCCCTTAGATTAAAATGTAAGCTCATCATGGCCTGCCAGGCTTCACGTGAGCTGGTCCCTGCCTTCCTCACAGACGTCATGTCCTACACGCATGCCCCACAGGCTTTATATGCCATTCTCACTGACTTCTTCTGGAATGTAGCAGATGCTGCCAGTGCCCAGCTCACGTCCCTCAGCCAGGCCTTCCACCAACTGGCTTCAGCCATGGCAGACGCCCTGCCCATGAGCAGTGGGCAGAGGTGCCAGGGAGAGCCCTCACCAAGGACTGACGGGCTAGGGAGTATAAATACCCCCATGCCTGCGCTTCTCAGTGGGATAACTCAGGGGTGGGCTCTGCACTGTTTCCCAGTGTCACTGGGAGATGCCACTGCAGTCACCTGCAATGGAGCTGACTCGATTATTTTTTATTGGCAAATCCCTTCTTAAGTCCTTCCCCATCTTGCTTTTGCCCCCCCCACTGCTCCTTTCCTGCACCTCCCAAGTAAACCATTTTCACTGAAATCTTGGCCTTGCGTCTTATTCAGGGGGCGGTGTAGACTGAGTTAGCTTTGCACTCACCATCCTCTCTGCCGGGCGTATTCCATCCTGTCATTCAGGTCTCAGCTCAGGTGCCATCTCTTGAATCCCACCCCAACCCCAACTAATCAGACCCTTTGTTATATCTCTTCATTGATTTATCCTATTTGAAATGATATTGTTTATATAATTAGCTTGAAAATGGTGTCTCTCCCCGAGGGTGTTAGCCCTACAGGGTAAGTGCTTTGTGTATTGTGGCTCCCAACACATTGGAGAGTGCCTGGCCCATAGTAGGCATCCTTTAAACATCTATTTACTTAGTGAATGAGAGGTTTTTTGCTGGGAGGGATGTCTGATACTGCATCAGGACTAAGATTTACAGCAGCTGTTTGAGTCCACGCGTTTGTAATTGGCACAGCAATTGCTGGCGTGTGCATGGAGACTGCTATTGTGTTTTGGAGCAGTTGATTCTCTTCCATGGGTTTAATCTGCTTCGAATGACTTTGAAATGATCGCAATTGCTCTGCTAATTACAATCCCGATAAACTCCATGAAAGCCTATCTTGGAAGTGCTTCCAGCCCAATAACACTGTTAGAAAGAATTACCTACAGTTGAAAGTAAGAAAACCACGTTTATTTAATAACAGTCTTCAATTCAACTTGCCTTTCCATTGATGTACCTGAATTAGTAAAGCCAGACTGCATTTAGTGTATGTGCTGCCGAAGCGAGCACAGCCAGACTGTATTTAGCTGTGTACTTACTGTACTTACAGGGGTGAGACGTTGACAAGGCTTGCCCCCGGGCATGCAGATGTGGAGGCCAGAAAGAAAGGCTCCGTGTGCAGTCCTTTGGCAAAAGCTCATTTCTTAGGTGGCCTGGTCCATCTCCTGTTCACCTGGCATGGACCCGCTTCAGCAAGGGACTAGCGGTCTTTTAGACTCAGGGTCCTGCAGACCAGAAAGATGGCCCCAGGGACTGGGACTGCCTAGGGGAGTGGTCGGCAAACTCATTAGTCAACAGAGCCAAATATCAACAGTACAACAATTGAAATTTCTTTTGAGAGCCAAATTTTTTAAACTTAAACTATATAGGTAGGTACATTGTTATTAACTTAATTAGGGTACTCCTAAGGCTTAGGAAGAGCCACACTCAAGGGGCCAAAGAGTCAGCTAATCTGAGTTCTTGGACAAGTTCTCTGCGCTTCAGTTTCCTCATTTATAAAGTGGAACTGTAACAGATCAGACAGGCTAGCACATGTGAAGGGCTGTGAGCCATGCCTAGCGCACAGGAATGTCAGCTATTAGCTACTGTTATTCCACAGAGGCTGGAACAGCAGGATTAAGGGATGGATGGAGGACAAGGAGCCTCTAACCAAATCTCAGAAGTAGCGGACATACAGGTTGAAAGCGAACCAGGAGGGGCACCCGTCATAGAAGTCACAGCAAGAGGATGTTTCAAGGGGGGTCAACAGGGTCAGTGGTGCTGAGCGGTCAGGCAAGACCGTTGCCCAGAGTGCCTTGGATTTAGGCACAAGGAGGTCACCGGTGACTATAGCCACTGCTGTTTTGGTGATGTGATAGAGAGGCCAGTTTTCAGCATATTGAAAATGTGGGCCGGGAGGAAAGGAAGAGAATGGCGTGAAATGTTTCAGTTTGGCTGGGAAGGGAGACAAGCGAGAGGAGGCGGTGGTACAGCCATGGTAAGGTTAGTAGCAATCTTCTTTGCCGGACACACATTCCATCCGGCTGTGCTATCTCCTGTGAGGCTCATCAGGGGGACAGGTTAGGACCCATAACTTACAGATGAGGCCACTTATGTAGACAGAGTTGGGACCAAACCATTTCTTCTCCCTCCACCCCACGCTGGTGTGATTATGTGCAAGAGGGAAGGAGGCAAGGGTGTGATTAGTGCATTTAGCTGCTTTATCACACCTGCATATCAAAGGACACATCCGGTGAAGAGGAATTGAGCCTTTGGCAGAGGAGGGCGGTGATTGATTCCTTTAATTCCTTTAACCCATCCTAGTATCCCAACATCTCCCATCTTGCTGCATGACACCCTATCAGTGTGGGAAGAGAAATCTTTGGTTGCAGGAAGTTCCAGCTACAAACAGTGGGGCAGGACTCTAGGCCCACAGAAAGGACACTGTCTCTTTTTCATATTTCCTCTTCTCCACAATCCTTTCTCTGCCACCTGAGATGTGTCTGGCTGGCAGGTGCCCTGGCCTTTGACCCTGCTGTTGCAGAGTTGGGTGGAGGGTAACTTGAAGGTCGATGTGTCACTTGGAGCAATGCTGGTGAGGAGTGAAATACATTTGGGGAGTAAGTTTATGTCAAGGACTTTGGAATGATGAAACCGTAGTGGCAGGACTTTGGAAAGTCACCTTCCAAACCAGGGCTGGGAGACCCAGAGTGGGCAGAGGGAGATTCCAGGGAGTAAACTGATGGGTGTCCGTCTAACACAGTGGTTCTCAACCTTCCTAATGCCGCGACCCTTTAATACAGTTCCTCATGTTGTGGTGACCCCCAATTTCATTGTTACAAATTGAACATAATTAAAGCATAGTGATTAATCACAAAAACAATATGTAATTATATATGTGTTTTTCGATGGTCTTAGGCGACCCCTGTGAAAGGGTCATTCGACCCCCAAAGGGGTCACGACCCACAGGTTGAGAACCGCTGGTCTAACATGAAGCAGACACGTGGCAGGAGGGCTGACGGCCAGGACAGTCCACAGGGTACATGGCCCCTGCGGTCTCTGCTGTCGCGCTTTGGAAAGTCTTAGTCTTTGAACAAGGGACCCCTCATTTTCATTTTGCTCTAGACCCGGGCAGCTATGTGAGCCATTCTTATCAGGGGCACAGGGTTGGTGGAACATACAAACTGCAGGCGCTGGCTAGGTCTGGCCAACAACAGCCTGACTTCATATGCCAACTTGGTCCTGAAACTCCCCAGCTCGGAGAAAGCTAGGCCACCAGCCACAGTTGAGCCACAGGACCTGGCCAATTTAGATCACTTCTTGGAGCAGCTGTAACGCTGCCTCGGATATACCAACTGGGCAGGAGGAGCACATACCACTCTCAGAAACCATGACTAAGGAGCCAGGCATGTGCTCAACTCCTTTCCGCATAGTTCCATATTATTTCCCAATAAATCCTGAGATTCAGAGATAATGACTCAGAGGTTCAGGAAGGCGATCGGTGTTGGCCAGGTGCTAGTAAGTGGTGCTGTGGATTAAAATGCAGGTGCCTGGACCCCAAGTCCAGTGCTTGCCCCACTAGCAGGGGTGGGAACCTTTTTTCTTCCAAGGTCCATTTGGATATTTATAACATCATTTGCAGACCATACAAAATTATCAACTTAAAAATTAGCCTGCTCTATTTGGTCAAACATTTAATTAATTTACCCCTTAATGCCTTGTCAGACCAAATGATTTTTTGGGCCTTATATGGCCAGCGGGATGGACACTCCCCACCCCTGCACCAGAGGACAGAGGTGATGGCCAGGATACCTGAATGTCAGTGTATCCAAGGCCTGGCCCCAATTCTGAGGGGTGAGCCCAGCTCCAGTTCTGAGGGGTGAGCTGTGTAAGCTCAGTGCACTCTCTGTGGTCTGATCAGCTCACTCCGCAGTCCAGGACACATATGGTGATGGTGGCATCTCTCGGTGTAGGCCAACTCTGAGCTGAGCCTGGGAACAGGGCTGTGGGTACAGGGTGTACTGGGAAATGTGTTGTGGGTTGTGGTGGGACCCAGGCTGTCCATCTGCCTCCCCAGAGAGAGAAGGGCTCCTCGGGGGACTTTCCCAACAGGCTGTGGGCGTGACTGAATCATGGTGGCCTCGTTGGGTTTGGTGGGCATACTTTGGAGTCAGATTGCTGCCACTTCCTGCCCCTGCTCTGTAAGGTGGAAAGGCTGGGGTGCTTTTCCCACCATTTCCTGCAAAGTTGGCACCGTGCCCTGACCTCCAGATGGGCTGTGGGAATCCTCCAGGGCTTCCTGGCATCCTCGGGGCCCGGTCATGCCCACCTTCTCCTTCTGGCTTCAGCCCAGCTCTCCAGACCTGAGCACAAAGCCAGGAAATCACAGAGGCAGAGCCCAGTGATTTATCTTCAAGGTGCCGTCACTGGGGCCCCATGTGGCAACTCACTTTTCCTTTCTGGCCTCCTGCTCCTCATCTCTCAAGTGAGATGACCCACCCCGATTCTTCCTAGGGGCTCTTCCTGCTCCGTGGGGAATGGGGCCCAGCTGGTGTGGCTCAGAGGTTGAGTATCAACCTATGAACCAGGAGGTCATGATTTGATTCCTGGTCAGGGCGCATGCCTGGGTTGCAGGCTCGATCCCAAGTAGGGGGTGTACAGGAAGCAACTGATCAAATATTCTCTTTCATCACTGATGTTTCTCTCTCTCCTTCTCTCTCTCTCTATATATATATATATATC